GGGGGGGGGGGGGGGGAAGGAAGTTACAGCAAAAGTTTTATGGCAGAAATGAAAACATTTTAAGTTATTTCTCTAGTTTCACTTAGGCAATGGGCTGGTTGGGTTTCTCTTGGAGAATTACAAGAATGAAAAAATATACCGCTTTTCAAAACCAGCCATCACAGGACTCATAACCAGGAAATGGCCATGGATTACAGACAGCCAGCGTAGGCTTCCGCCCGCCTGTGCCCTCCCCTGCGGCTGTGCCCGGCCCCTCACAGCCAGCCCTCCAGGGACCCACGCCCACAGCTGGCTCCTCATCAGCAACTTCAGGACACAAAGCGAGACTGAGGGCAGCGGAGCAGCTCTCAGAACCCAGGGCAGCACCTCCCAAGGCTCCTTCCCAGGGCAGCAGCCAGAAGGCCAGGAGCCTCCGCCACCACAGCAGCGGCCAAGGGCACAGCGCAGCAACCTGTGCAAATGCCCTGCACAGGACAGGCACCGCACCACAGGAAATGTCAGAGCTCACAGAGGCACCGCTCCAGGCAGCCACCACGTGACTGGCAGCCCGCCCTTACCCGGAGCCGGCCGCCCATTCCCGGTAGAGGCAGGGAGCTTAGCGCTGAGGCTTATCAGGGCAGGGACGCCTGCCCACCGCAGCCTAGTCACTACATGGAGAGCACTGAGACAAGGACACACTAACCCTTCAAAACACGGCAGGGACCGTCCAGCAATTCTGTGAAAATATAAGACCACCTTTTACGAGGTGACAGGCACCAGGGAGACTGACGGAGGGAAGCGGATCCCTGACACTCAGGGCCTACTGATGGCTCCAGTCCTTGCTCAGGCGCGTGGTCCCTGCCCAGCCCCCAGGGACAAGGGTGGGCTGAAATCATTGCCCTGTGCAACGGACCCAGGGCCCTGGCACACGCCCAGAGGAAAATGCCTGGCTGGCAAGGAGCCACAGTAACAAAGACTGAAGCGGCCACGTCCTGCCCCGTCCACCGCATCCTCCCACTGCCTCAAGTGGTCATGGAGACGTATAGTCCCCGCCATCCTACTGTCATCCGGGAGGGGCTCGGACAGTCACGGGACCACTGCAGGGCAAACAAGGGCTAGGAGCTGCCACCGGCCGCAGAACGCCAGATCTGCGGAGGGGACAGACGGGCCTGCAGCACACACACCAGCGCCTCAGGGTGCACGACCCTGCAGGGCACGTGAGCCACGCAGGCCTCCCCGTCGTGAGCCTTGCTGGGCTTCAGCTGCTCATTTCCACGCTGACTCCATGGTAGCCCACCAGCCTGCTGAGCAGAAGCCGAAAGCACATGGGGAAGACGTGGGTCCTGATACATAACTTTCTGCCAGTTTCTAGATACATTTAAAATACATTGTCAGGGGGCTGGGGATTTAGCTCAGTGGTTTTGCCGCCTGCGGCACAGGCGCAAGGACCAGAGTTCGATCCCTGGTACAAAAAAATATATATATGTTGTCGGTACACATTCAGATCTTGACCAGGTATTCTAGCAAGGATTTAAATGCCACCGCCATATACACACACACACACACACACACACACACACACACACACACACATGTGACATATGCAGTATCATATACATACACACACACACACACACACACATAGCATCAACACATTCCTTTAAAAACATAAGATATCTACACAGAACGATAGCTGAGGAAGCCCCCACCCAGAGCGACCAGCACAAAAGTAAAGCCATTCAATGATTCTGCAGGGCCGGTCCCGAAAGTCCTGAACAGACACCAGGGATGCGCTAACCCATGACCAGTCAGGAGCAGCCCGAGGTCCTGTGTGGAGACACTTACTTACCTCCTCAAGAAGCCGAGTGACAGCATCTATGTCATTGTATGTCTTAGTCATCTGGCCAACTCTCTCTGCACAGAGAACTGTAAGAAACAGAAAGGACAATGAGCAGCTGGCGCCATGCCTGCCAACAGAGGGGCCCCCAATGCCACCACTGGTGCAGCTGGGTCCGACCCACACGGGCCAGGTTTCACATCCCAGTTCCACACCCCATGCCCAGTCTGGGAGGGAGGAGAGTGAAGTCTCGACACTGCACGTGAGTGCGTGCCTGTGTGTGTGCCTGTATGTATGTGTGTGCCTGTATATGTGCCTGTGTGTGTGCGTGTGCCTATTTGTGTGCATACCTGTGTGTACATGTGCACAGTGTGCATATGTCAAGGGCACTGAGGGCCACACAGAAGACTGGAAGGGGCTCTGGCCTCGCACAAGCTAGAGAGGGAGCGGTCACAGTGTGGCCAGCCATGTGTAGTGACTGGAGAGGCCACTGCACCCAGACCCTGGCCACACAGACTCCACGCGCGGGCTGGGTGGGGCCTGAGGAAAGCAGCCCATAACAACTGCTAAGGGTTGTCTCCAGTGAACAGTTTCATAACGGCTCAGCCCCTCTGTCCCCAAGGCCAGAAGTACAAGGCTTCCCTACCAAGAACACTAGGGATGTGCATGCACACACACACACACACACACACACACACCCCGCAGTTTCACTACATACACAACTGACTGTGGTCACAGTCACAAGACGCAGCTCACAAGCCACTGCAGAACCACGTGTCTTTGTTTCTCTTCCACTGGAGAATGCAGTTGTGCAAAGAAACAAGGCTTTATTTAGTCTGCTAAACAATCTCAAGGTTGTTTTATTGTAAATCAACGGCAAGGAATTGACCTTCAGTTCAACACACACCCAGAAGGGAGTGAGAGTTTTACCCCAAGCGGGGAGGAGTGGATGGTAGTGGATTTGGGGTCAAAGTGTGGAGTTTGCAACCTGTCACGCTGGGGCTGAACAAAGCTTCTTAGGAGTGCTGTGTACCTGAGATCCTGGAGACCCACCCTCTCAAGGGCAGTAGATTTTGAGTGGCCAGGCCGGACAAGGGGAATGGAGAATGTACCAAAGTCAAACTCAGCAGCACTGCCAAGCCAACCTACAAGTGGAATGCAATAGGACTCTAAATATTTTATCCAATGCAAGTAGAAACCATTCTAGTGAACTAGCCCAGAGAAATCTGATCTGCTGGAATGATTTTCTAGCTAAGGAGGAGCCTGAAATCCGGCTATTTGAAACCTATCAACCCAGAGCCCTAAGGGCCAGGAGCCCCTCCGCTCCCTCCCTAGGAGTAGGTGAGGGGAGGCCCAGCAGACCTGTCTGTCGTGGGCTTACGCATGAGTCTAATTTGATGTAGACAGCGTCCAGCTCACTGGTCTAGACAGTGCCTCGGCCCCAGGCCGAAGAAGAAAATCCTAAACTGAACACTCCTTGGCCGCCTCCAGGAGTTAATTTTCCTAACACACCATGAATATTCTGCAGGGAAACAAGGGTTGGAGCCACCACTTCCCCAGCACTGTGTTGGTCAGAGACAACACTTGATTTGTTTCTCAGTACTCATACTGAGCTGCATCCCAGCCCCAGGGTCTCGCTGAGGCACTAAGGTGCCCAGGCTGGGCCCGGACTTACCTCAGCCTCCCAGAGTGCATGCACTGCCACATCGGGCTGCACCTGAATTCTGCACCCTAAGAGCTCTGAGGTTATTCATATAGGAAGTCACGTGTGGATAATCACATGCAGTTGAGGAAGCCTGTACAACCTAGCCTCAGTTTCCCTCAGTGGTGACATACCGCAACACCATCCTACACATGACACCACCGTGGGGTGCTACACGGCTGCATTCCAGGGTGCTGACTCCTCTCTCTCCACCTACGTGTGCATGAGTGTAAACACGTGGATATGAAGGTCCAGACAGTCTCCTCACATGTGCAGGTTCCTTTAGCCACTGCTGTAAGGATCCCTTGGGTCGCCCTTTCTACACAGCTAATTTTAAAAGCTTTAATGTATGTCAACAACCAAACCCCAAAAGGAGCTTGGCCCAGGTCTCTGGAGCCCTCCCTCGAACACTGACAGAGGATGTGCCAGGCACCGAGACAGGACAGCTGCAGCCAGGGGCATTCAGGGTGCAGGGCTCCCCCCAACCCCCAGAGCTTTGACGACTCCCAGCCAGAGTAAGAGCCATACACAAGAAACTAGTGTTCACGCGAAACTTCGAAAGTGTATGATTATTATGCTTTTAAAAATGCATATAATCCCCTGAGGTGGGGAGAACTGTATAAATTTATAGTACCCAGAAAAAACTAAGATAGCCATAAAAATACTGACATTTGGACAACATCATAAATTTTTATTTGTGCTCTAAAAAATTTTTATAGTGACCATGTACTGATGGGGAAAAACAACTTTGATGTTTTTCAGAAAATACACAGCTGACTATGAGGTGTCGGATACTCCCTGTGCTTACTTCTAAGAGAACTAATAACAGCAGCAAAACTTTCTCTTTCATTGCCAGATAGACGTGCGCTTTATGGGGTGCATCCACGCAAGGTGAAGTCCAGGTTACCCACAATCTCCGAGACCTTGCTGAGCATGTTCATGAGGCTGACACCAGGCATGGACGGCCCCACTGTGGGCACAGCAGTACCTGGGGACTGGGCACTACATCAGTGCCACTGCACAAATGGGAAACTCAGGCCAGAGAGCTTGGACAACTCACCCAGAGCCAAGCAGCCAGCAAGGGGCAAGCTTCACATAAGTACCGACTCAGCACACGCAGCAGCCAACAGCCCTGCTGCCTGCTTCTCGGGTAGGGACTTGACCTCCCGTCTCAAGAGCTTTCTCGGCACCCCAGGCTGAGCACTGTTCCATAACTGGCTCTGCCTGCACACAGGTGAGAAAACTTAGAGAGGTCAGGGGCCCAACGAAGGTCACGGAGAACGGAGCTGCACCCCAGGGAGGGGCCCAGCGGTCTGGCTCCTGAGTGCAAACACGGGCAGAGGACACGACAGGTCAGCAGTGCTCGGAGGTGTGCAAACAGCAAGGCACACGTGTGATGGAGAGGGCGGGGCCCCAGACAGCCCTGCAGCTGCAGGTCTCGGTCTCCTCTTCCAGCACTGAGGGGCGCAGGGAGATGAGCACAGGTGGAAGCAAGAGCCCAGGATCCCGCTGCTGTAAGACCCCCAGATTCTGCTCTTCAGGTGCCCGGCCCTTAACCCTAAATCCACAATAGCTGTGGCCAAGTCTCTCTCTCCCCGAGAGGAGTGTTTCAGAAGGAAGTTCCATTTCCAACCCAGGGAGTACTACCCAGTAAGTACCTTTCACCCAAAACTGTGTCCAAAAAGTAGAAGAGCAGCGATAAACCTCCATAATAACATAAGAAAATCCTGAGCCAAGCGTGGTGGTGCACGCCTGTGATCCCAGTACTCGGGAGGCTGAGGCAGGATTGCTATGAGTTCAAGGCCAGCCTGGGCTACACAGTGAGATTGAGGCCAGCCTGAACTACACAGAGAGACTCTGTCTCAAAAAACCAAGAAAACCCTGGTCAGAATCCTAGAAAAGGAAGTTGAAGGTATCCTCTGAAAGCTGAAGGAAGCCTTTGGCAGATCAAGCCCGCCCGGATGAGTAACCATCAGTATGCACCGGGCGGCTTTGTGCTGGCAGGCAGGACATCTGCCCTCCAGGAGCACAGGGAGCGAGGTGGCCTGGGGTCCCACCAGCACCTAGGCAGTGCAGGCTTCGCAGGGGACCACAGGGAGCACTGGAGGCTGTGGAGGAAGTGACCGCAGGAGTCCGCACTGCAGCAAACACTGGAGCCAGGCGTGGGGTATGGGGACACAGGGGATCAGCGTCCAGGCGCTGCCAGGGGACCCTGGGTGGCAGCGGGACAGGGGGCAGTGGGCTCTTATGTCCAGAGACTGAGACGAGATAGGCTGGGGGGGTGAGGCAGAAAGTGCATGGTCTACGCTCTCCTGGGGACAAAAGGGACAAGAACGACCATTCCTGGGTTGAGAAGCTAATGGGGCTGCCCGGCGGGACCAAAGGCAGGGGGCAGTCACGTTGCTGCGGCACGAGCTGCCCCTGAACCACGAGGCAGGGCCCAGGTGACGGAAACGCCTTCCCAGCGGCTGGAGGAGCAGAATCCACTTCAAAACGAGGTGAACACCAAGTGCTTGTTCTCAGGAAGGCAAGTTTAAGTGAGTGCACGGGCGGTGGTACACACCTTGATCCCAGCTGCTCGGGAGGCAGGAGACGAGGAACTGCAGGACCATGTTGAAACAAAAATAAAGAGGGCTGAGGCTGTAGCTCAGCGGTAGAGAGCTTGCCTCGCATGTGTGAGGCCCTGGGTTCAACCCTAGTACTGCGAGAAACAAAACACAGCAAATCTGAGCGTGCAGCCTGGGCTGGCTGACCTGAGGCAGGAAACACGGCACTGGGCTGTCAGAGCCAACTGGGCTGGGGCCAGAGTTTCCAGGGCGCCTTAACCCAAAACTCGGGAACCCAACTTTTCAGCAAAGTAAACCACACTCAGAGCGACTGCGGCAATCAGTGCTAGCCCCACTGCTCCGGGCATGAGATGCCGGCCACTAACAGCCCCAAATATCCAGGTGTCCACTGAGGCCAAGGAAGCTCAGGAAAGAACCAGCTGGGGGTGGTCTTGGTGGGGGTCGCAGCCAACGCGGGTCAGGAGGGTGCACAGATGCGGGTGGGTGGCAGGGCTGAGGTCACGCAGACCTGGAGGCCAGCGGGCGCACGAGAGCTGCACATGTGCGTCCGCGGGCTGAGCAGCCCCTCTCCACAGGCTCTCAGAAATCAGAGGACCCCACTTCTGCCTCACCTGACTGAAAGCAGCAAACAGCTTTCACCACACTCAGCCTAAGTCCGGTAACGTCTCTCCCACGAGTGTCAGCTTTACACATCTTCCTATGTGGTCAGAGCGAATAAATAAGCATTTTACACCCACAGGTATGTGTGTGTATATGAAAACAGAGCATCCTATAACCTGTCTTATTTTACTTTAACTTCTTTATACTTTGGGTTTCTCAT